TGATGGGACCAGAGCTTTGGCAGTGATTCCAGCATAAAGTGCTCATCCTTTTTGCTTACCTCTTCAGTTATGCTGATGTAGCTCTTTTGTAGAGCTGTGAAATTGATCCTGTTTTTTTAAATAAAGATTTGTGGAGTGTGTTTTTTTGTTGTTTGTTTGTTTTGTTGTTGTTTTTTAAATCCAGGTTAGTTTCTTGACCGGCTTTACAGTGCTGCCTTCCTGAACAGTGATGACAGCATAACTGAAAAGGCAGTATTTTGTGATATGGGATGTGGTGGGGCTAAGAGAGGGGAGGGAGCTTCTTTTGCTCATCCCTATATGAAGACCCTGTGATGTCAGGCCACTGCTTGGCAAGTGGAGAGTCATTGGTTAAAACAGGTCTTTCCTCTTGTACTCAAAATCTGTTTCCCAAGAGTACTTTGCTTAGTGGTCAAAGGAGAATCATGTTCAGTTGGCAGCTCTGATGCTTGAGACTTTCTGAGTGCCCACAGTATGGTGGGTCATTGGGTGATGTGCTAGTGGAGAGAATTCAGCTACATCTTGGGGCCACTAACTGCAGTTTGTGAAAACACTTCATGCTGCTTATATTTTTAAGGTTGGTCTTTTTTTTTGAGCAATTTCCCACTTACAGTACTTGGTGTTAATTTTAAAATGTCTTTATACACCCACTCATGCTGTACTTGAACCATAAGATCTTTTTCTGTTCTGTTTCTTGGTAACATAATGTTTTGGTAGTCTTTGCTTAAGCCTGGAGATTAGGCAGTTGTCAGTTTTTGTTTTGCCTGTCTCAATATCTGTTTCCTAGGGACAAAGTCATCTTGCAGATGGTTACTCCATTTCCATCACCTAACCTTGCAGCATCCATTCAATCTTAATCAGAAAGTAGTGCTGTACTACTCTGTTTCTGATTATTTTTTCCCTAGTGTGGGGAGCACGCCTTCTTAAGCCTTGCATGAGGTGTTTGCATACAGATCTTGCTTCTTATTACAGCCTTACATTCTGTCCCCAGACACCGTATTATCTACTGTGCTTTGGATCAAGAAGATTAGCTGGCTGCTCCTGTATTTTTTGTCAATTTTATTTCTTAATTAGTTACTTGAGGAAGGTTTTTGAATAACTTGAAATACTACCTCTCAGTTGATGGATGGGCACTTTGCTCTTAGAATTCCTTTATTGCTTCTTATTCTCTTCTTTTTTCTTTTCCTCCTTTCCCCCCCCCTTCCTCCCCTCATCCATCCTCCCTGTAAGGACAAAATTTACAAATATTTCTTCTGAAATATTTAATCACATAAAAAGAATGGCTTAAAAACGCTGAGCACCGAACTGTTTGTGCTGCCCTTGCTTGTGTTCCTTTTCTCACTCACTGAAATAAAAGTGAAAAGATGAAGGAAAGTGAGCTGATAATTTCTGCCGTTTTTTATCAGTTAATTCTCCCTTTCTTTTTCTGGGGACTTAACATCCAGGGGAAAGGGTAGATTTTTAGACTTCAGAGGAGATACTTGCTAAGAGTTTTGGAAAAGAGAAGGGTTGATATTATGATCTGCTGAAAACCGCTTTTATGTTCTCTTTCACAATTTAATCCCTCTGATGTATGCTACTTACTTTGTGACCTTTAACATGTAGTTGAATCATTACATACCTGTCAGATTTTAGGCTTTTGGGCAAATGCTGAAAACAAAAGTGTCTCAGCTTCCAAATACTTACCATTTATGGAATGCTTGAAATTCCTAGAAAAGCTGCCTTACTTGGTTGAATTTTAATATGATTATGCTTGACGTTTTTGTTCAGAGTGTTTAAATCAATTTAATTTTCTCCTTTCTCTGCTGTTTTCTCTTTGTCTGCCAAGGAAGTACATGAATATTCCCACTCAGCAAAATGGAAATAATCTGAAATAGGGAGTGGTGATCTGAACAACTTGAGGTTAATTTGTAAATAGGTAATTTGCTTATTATTATTAAGCTATGCTTCCTATTTGTTATTTTATGATAAAATTACAGCTAATTTATATCTGTTCAAACAATTAAGTAAGTTTGAGCTCTCAACAAATACATCCAGGTGTTTGTTTTCTCTGCTGTGTGCTTTGAAATAGATCTTGGGAATTTGAACAGGATGAACAGATTTTATTCTGCAAACCTTATTTTTAGTCAAAGTAATTATTTGATTTTTCATCTGTTTAAATGAATGACAAGAATTCCACTGTGAAGTCAGTTAAGACCTACACATAGATTGTTTCATCAGCAGATGAATATAAGCATCCCTTAATCAAGGTGTGTTTTTAGGAAATGCAGCAAGTTCATTTACAGGCAATGGTGATGCTTCGTATTTAGGAGTTAATGGTCATGAGTGGCTGCTTCCTTTGTCTTTTGTTAATTGGACAGTTACTGGTAAACCATCACCAGTGTAAGGATTAAGACAGGAACAGAAATACTGTCCTGTTTAATAATTAAACTTATAGGTGGTGTGAACTCTCACCTAGGTTTTGTATTCATAATAGCTTGGGAATTGTCCAAACGACTAAGTGTGCTTATTGCTATGTCCTGATTTGTGCTTTTCTTTTACAAGACATTGTAATAGATGGCCAGGTGGTTAATGATCAACACATTTCTGTGTATTTTGGACCGCAGGTATAAAATAAAAATCTTGTGGGGAAAAAAAACATTTCAAGTCCAGCTGAAGAAAATACTAGTGCTTCTGGAGGACAACTGTTAATCCTTTAATTTTTGGACACTCTGGTATCTGCTAGTACACTGGCAAGTGTGTACTTCAGACACAGTTATTCAGTACCATGTTTGTAATGTGTCCCTGCAGAGATCTTGGGTATGGATCAGCAGGACATGCATTAGAAGTGCAGAGAATGTGTTTTGAATGGACTGCTTTTAATTTTGAATGATCCCTGCGGTTAAGAATGTGTAACCTGAATGTAGTTAAGTAACTTGTTTGTATAATTAGCACGCACTAAAATTATTATCATCTTGACTTGCCTGAGTGCTGGCTGCTCTCTTGATTGGTAACTTTTGCTGAAGTTGGTGGGAGCCAGTTTGCTTTGCAGATTAAGTCTGTGTACTTGTTCTGACCCAGATCTCAGTCAGATCTCACTTTTGCAGTCAGTGGAGATAAACTGAGACAAAACAAGTGGGAAGGACCTCTTACGAAGCCCAGTAGCTTCAGGAGATGTTGTATCAGCATGACATTAAGCTAGGCTTGTGCAGGTCCACATTTTGTCTTTTAAAAATATAATACATTTGTTATATCCATTTCTATCACATATCTTATAAGTTAGTATTTTTTCTTCCCATTGTTAATTTTAATGAGAAAAATGTGTATGGGTGGTGGGCTTTGCTTTCAATAGAAACTGTCCTTCTAAAATCAGTTATTACCTACAGTTGTAATCATTTAGAATCCTGTTCATCAAAAGGACTTAAAATGATGAAAGTCTCCTTGTTATGTGAAAGCATGTGCCAAAGTCCTTTGCTGAATCAGTTGCTAAGTTATACTGCAGAAATGATTTTTTTTTTTTTCCTAGATAATGTAAGCAGAATAAAGATATGGGTTTAGTGAATAGGGACTTTCTGCTTACTTGCAAACTTCCTTGTTGATAAGGAGGTTGAATTTTTTAAAAAATAATTTCCCCCTTCTCCCCCTGCCAAAAGCATGAGATAGATAGGCATTTAACTTTTTAGCATAAGAAGCAGCTGTTCCAATTTACATTTGCAGTTTACAGCTTTTGAAAAAGAGACATTTGGAAGTGCATTTCAGGTCTTTTGGGCTGATTTACATTCTGCGTGAAGTTGGTCCACTACTAGTGATATTTTCTGGGAAGTTGGGATTGACTGCTTGGCACATGTCTAAAGGGCAGAACTGCTTATGTTTCTGTCCTTTTCTTAGGCACTAATACTGTATCCATCATTGAAATACCTTAACCTGTTTTGTCCATTCTGTATGGTACTCCTATTTCCCATAGTTCTAGAGGCATACATATTTGGAGAGTTGGTCTACTAGTACCTCTTAATGCTTCTGTCAAGCTTTCTCTGCCTATTATATGAAAAACATGAAGGTGTGCCATAGTTTGCTAATCTTGTTTCTTATTCAGTGTACTCGTGTGATGTATATTGTATGCTGAATTGATGGTTAGGAGCTTAGGTGAAATTTGAATATTATGTGTGAATCCATTCTTCTGAGTTATCCTTCAGGAATGTAAGTGTTGCTGTTTATTGTTCTATAGTGTACCTAAACGATAGCAGTTTTTCTGTTGTATTGGAAAAAACGCTTGCCTTTTTTGGGGAGAATCATTTTGTGATATAAACTTCTGAACTCAGTTCACTTACAAGAAAAGTTTACAGGAAGGTTTAAAAACAGTTTTAACCAAACAGCATATGAAAAGATGGGGAGGAAAAGTGGTGGTTGTGCTCTGGAACATATCATGTATGCATCATAAATTTGTAATGAGATACAATACATAATATTTTGAGTGTTTGTGTGTGATGTACTGATAAGTATCTGAAATGAGAGGGCTAGGAGGAGTTGGGAAATAGCGGGGAAGATGATGAATACAGTCTTATCTGAAGTTAGCAGGCAATATTATGGCTTAATTCAAATTCTACCGTACATGCAAAAAAATACAAACCACACATAACGAACAAAAATATTCTGCAAGCAGTGATAAAAATAATCAATTATTTACTGTTTTTGTAATGTTAAAATATTTTACCACGGCAAGTTGCAGTCAAAAGTAATGTGAGTTATTTTGAAAATGGAAATACATAAAGATGCATTTATACAAGTGCAAGACTAAATATTTTACATAACTGTATTTCAATGAGAAGATATACAGTAAGTGCACACTTGATAACACTAAGCAGGCAAAACTTAACGTTAGTTCCATATACTGTTGTATAGTTCATGCACAGATCTCTCCGAAAGTAAGGGGGCTGTTCCAAATAATTCTTGCTGGGATGCAAAACAGGATGGATTGTTGGTAAGGGTGTCAGCATGGATGGGGGTCAGTTATAGACATTACTTACTGTAATTTGTGATTGCCGTGAGAGAGGAGTGGCTGTTGGTGTGATAGTAATACTGCTGGTGATTTTACTGGTGGGCTTACTGGGTAGGCCATTAGCTAGTGCTGGAGTTCTGTTGTCTTGCACCGGATTACAAGGGCTGATGGGCTTGGAATTGGTGAGAGCTTGGACGTATGGACTTCCTAAGTGGATGTGGATTTTATTATCCTCAGTAGTTATTACACTTGATCCCGTACTGTTAGATCTCTGAAACTGCCATGACGACTGCCTGTCTGGGGATACTCTAAAAATGGCGTGCTTGGCTCCCATTTCCAAAGGCTCTGAGGAGAGTATTTGTTCCTGAGAACTTGAGCCTGGTAAAGCCAAAGGGGACATTGTTCTTTCAGGAGTTAAAGAACCACATGATTCAGGAGTTTGAGATCTTGCAAAAGTAGCCATAGTAATAGGAGAAATTACTTGCTCTGGACTCATGTAACCTTCTGCTGCTTTGGATTTTACAGGTGTTAAGGAGGCATTTTGAATAATGGTTATTCTTTGTTTTGGAGTGCCACAGTTGGGTATAACTGCTGTGCTTGTGTAGGAGTGAGGACTTTCAGTGGTAGGACTAGTTATTTCGAGTGTTGCTGTGTTCTGTCCATGGTCTGGAGTTACTTTTATGTGAAGAGGTTGGCCAGGTGTGTGGCTTAGCACTAGGTCTCCAGTCTGTGCACAGTTTCCATTTTGCTTTGTATGAATCTTTCCGTTTTGAGGATGGCTCTCTTTGGACTTCATCCAAGGGATCCATAATTTTTTGTTCACGGCATTTGCAATAGATGAGTTGCTTTTGAAAGACACTGTTTGTTCCCCCTCATTGTTGTCTTTGTCCTCATTATCGCTGTCTTCATACAGCTGCCCATTTATGACTGTTCGCTCTAAAGGCATGAGGGTTTTGTAATCGGGTGGTTCGTTGTCTGCTGGATCTGTCTGGACTTCTTTAGAAAAAACTTGCAAATCAGAAATTCTCCTTCCATTGAGACTGGGGGAAGTTCTTGCTGAACCATTGAAGTTCTTGCTGTAGCGTCTGTACCTCTCCAATTCTTTCTTGAGGCTTTCCATTTCTCTTGCTAACTCCCTGTTCTTGTTTTCTTGATGGAGGAGTTTCTTCTGTAAGACTGTATGATCACCTCGGAGGTGACAGATTAGGTCTTCTGTTGCCATGTATTCATGAATTTTCTCTTTCAGTGCATCTACTTCTCTGGAAAGATGACTTGATTTTGCTTCCTCTTCTTTGAGCTTCTTAAAAAGACGCTGCTCTTGATTGGACTCTGCCTTTTCTGTTAATTTATACCTAGCCACTTCCATTTTCACAGCCTCCAGCTCCTCTGATAGGAGCTTGGCTCTGTCCCTTTCATTGACATATCTTCGTTCTAGAGACTCAAATTCATCTTCAGTTTTCATAAGATCATCTTCTATAGCCTTCATTTCTTTCAGCTTCTGTTTAAGCCTCTCAACTTCTTGAGACAACTCTTTGATTTTGTTGTTCTCCTGCTGCAAGGAGGTGCTAGATTTAGTACTCTCCTTAAGTTTATTTTTAAGAAACTCTTTTTCAACAGCTTCCAGTGACTGAAGTCTTTTTCTTAGAATATTCACTTTGGAAACAAGATCACTTCCTTTCTCCTCTTCTGCTTTGAGTTTGTTTTTCAGTTCATCTCTTTCTTTTGTAACACTGGACACTTTTTCTTCTGCATCAGATTTTGATTTCAGTGCCTTTTTACTTTCTTCAATTAGTTTTTCTGTAACGGACATCACTTTATTTTGTTCTGCCTGAAGCTGAGAAGTTGCAGCTTGCAGCTTTTCTTCTGTTTGCTTTATTTTTTCACCCATAGTTTTTCTTTCATCCACAAGCATCACTGTTAGACTCTTCAGCTTTGTTAAATCTTCTTTAAGCGTAAACTCAGTTTTTTCTAACTTGCTTTCAATTGCTTCAAGCTCACCAATTCTAGCTTTTAAGCCATCCAGCTCATGGGACAACTGCTTTGTTAACATTTTTTCTCTTTCTAGGTTGCATTTCAGGGAGTAGCATTCTTGTTTGCTCTTGTTGAAAGCATCTTCTAATTTCTCTAGCTCCATAATTCTTTTGTTGAGTTTGTCAACTTCCCCTTTAAGGTTCTTGCTCTGTGATGCTTCTTTTTCTAACTTTCTATTAAGTTCTCTGCACTGATCTTCCATTTTTATGAGCTCTTCGTCTTTTCCTTCCATCTCCAGCAGTCGTTTCCGTAGTTCTTCCACTTCGGTCATAAGTGTGGGGTTTCCACACTCTCCCTTATTTATTTTATCCCTTAGGTCTTGCAGTTCTTCTTCTGCTTTTCGTAAAGATTTATTGGTCTCTTCCAGCTCATCAATCTGTCGGCTGAGAGCAGTTAATTTTAACCGGAGCTGACGATTCTGACTGTCTTCATTGGTTAGTTTGGCCATCATTGCTTCTTGGTCCTGGGCAATCTTACTGCTTTGGGCTTGAAGTTCAGCCTCCAGCCTGCTGGCTCTCTGTTCCTCTTCTTGAACTTTTGCTTCAGCAAAAGCCAGCTTCTCATGTGTTTGCTCTGCAGAAGTGGTTAATTCTTGAATTTTTTTACTTTGTTGACTCAACTGCTCAGTGAGTCTTTGCTGTTCATCCACCACCATTAAAGCAAAGGATTTCAGTTTAGTCAATTCTTCTTTCAGTTTAGCTGTTTTCTTGTTGCTTTCCTTCTCTTTTTTTGCCTGATATGCTGTTTCTTGTTCAAGAAGCTTTTTCAATCTGTGGGAGGAAATAATATTGTATTTTGTAGCCATTTGAATGGACATTTAAAAACACACCTGAAATATCATGACATCTCTGCCAGATGTGCATGAACATCCACTTTTAACTACAAGGAAAGGTCTGCTTGTAGTGTCGTGGGGCCCACAGACCTTACTTTCTACTCAGAATTTCTTTTGTAATGGACACTTCAATATGATCACTTAGAATTAACAACTTGAGTAATTATGCATCTTTGATTACATTTTCAGCTTTTGGCAGGTATCAGTGCAACACAACTTTTTGCTATTCTGCTCTGGAACAACACTGATCTTGGCTGTTTGCTGAGGGTAGCTATGTTCATGCAGGTTTTCCTAAGAAACGTGATTATCATAGTGGTTGAGAAGTTAAATCAGTGCAGCCCTCAAGGGCAGGTATAATTTACAGCATCATAAACCTCCTAATGCCTTTAAGTTACTTATAAACCATCCTGATAATTTGTGATGTTTTATGATTAAACCTTATGGATGTTAAAGTATGTGAAGGAAATGTAGCCACACTAGGCAGTTAGACAGGCTGCCTAATGTCAATTTCTAAGCAGCACATCAGAGCAAAACTAAACATGGTAGGTAAGTCAATCCTCAGTGAAAATGCAGGCCTTGGGACCTTGTATTATACACACACACAAAAAAAAAATGCAGTCAGCAGATAAACAGGTATTCAGGTTGTGCCTTTTGAACTTAAGAAAGCCCAAATGTCTTGCTGTTTGTTAGGCTTTGATTCGGTCTTATATCCAAAACTTGCAGATATACTTAAGTGCAACCCTGCTTTTACATGATTCTTGAGGGTTTTCATAATGGTTTTCCGACATGAGTTTTACAAGTTTATATTAGTACTCAGTCTTTACCAAGATGCAACATACTTAATTTGTTAGAGACTTGGTATAAGGTTGTGCATTTGTTTATATAAGATCCTAAGAAACCTCCGAATACCTCAAATAATTAGGTTCTTTTGTAGACTACTTTGTCAGGGAGATGTTTGTGGAGTTGGTCTGAGGTACGATTAGGTTTGGCCACCACATTTGCCTCCTTTCAATTAGATTTTTCCCACAGCCAACCTATAACTATATTCTAGTATTAAAGAAAAGTCTGAAAAGCCTAGATAGAAGTGATAAAGTATTAGAATTTGTATGTTTCACCGTTGTTCATATGTATGGTACGTATCCAGTTGTGTAGATTATATGAGGGAAATGAATTGCCTATCAGAACTGTACTTGCACAAAATGACTGCTTCAGCATTCATTAGCTGAGGCCCCTTGCTTTTTTTTTTTTTAGTTTTTTCCCCCCTCTGAAATATGACGATGACTCACTAGAAGTTGCTGCTGAAACATCAGATTTGTGTTCCACATTTGTCTCTAGTCACTGTTGTGATGCCCTTGTCCAAGTAGTGAGTCTTTACAGCTTCCCACTGACAAGTTCCTGTTGCAGCCATCCCTTTCGTTCAGGAAGAGCTCAGATAACGGCCTCCTTTGCACAGCTCTTTGACTGACTGGAGGCATATATTTCTGGGCATTTAATAGGCTGCCTCAGCAACATCCCCTTTGGCAGCATTGTAGTTTTCCCGCATGGAGAGAGGATGTCTTGCCATTCTACAACTGTCCATCAGACTTGTCTGATTTAATGGTGGTATTGTATAGAAGTCTATGACTATGAAATTTCTTAAAACACCTTCACCATCCCCACTGTTTTTATTTTAGTGCATAAGCTGTGTTATATTGAATGTAATGAAATGCTTTATATGAAAAATTGACAGAATGGGAAGTAGCAATAAACAGTTGATATCAAAGAATTAGAGCAGCCCCAAATTCTTTACAACAGTCAATTAACATAACGGAGAAAACAGACATGAAAAGGTATAAGTGGAGAGGGAGAGGTTTGTGAAAGGAGCTTGAAGGAATGCTGCTGGTTGGCAGAACAAATAAATAGGGAGAAGACTGCGCCATCTTCAAAGGCAGCTTTTTACTGTGTTGTTGGTGTATAAACTTTTGTCCACTTTTCAGTGCTAATTTCAGTTTGAATTCTTTTTAGTGTAAAAATCTCTCTTCCCTCCCCACCCTTGTCTCTAAATGCTTTAGTAGTGAAGTTCAATTGATGATTTACCGTTGCCATAGATATAAAACATAACAGAAGCATAACTAACAATTTCATTTGGAATGAACTCAGTTTTTGTGTGTGCATGAAGTTAAGACATCTTATATTAATACTGCTAAAATAGACTTGGGCTTATTAGCATTTGATTTATTTTAGCTTGCTTCATTATAATTTATTTTTGTAAGGCAAATTTAGCTGAGGTGATTAACACCTAAATTAATCAGTGTTTTACCCAACACTTCTGTATTCACTAGTTGATATCTCTCTGGCCAAATGAAACTGTAATGCTCCAGTGATGCCCCTTAAATTTCTTTAGAAAGAAAACTCTGAGACCAAATAGTAACCAACAATTGTAATTTTCATAGGAATGCTGCATAATTTTTTATGATGCAAATAAGATAATTGTGCATAAATAATAAATAAAATCAGTTGACAAATGTTGGAGTGAATAATCCCAGCAGTCCTTTCAGTGAGCATCAGTCTATCTACAATTTGTATTTTTTTCTGTCTTCTCCTCTTTTTTTCTTCTTCTATAACTTCGTTTCTCAAGCTATCTGGAATGCTTAAGACTTGCTTCAGCAAAGCACTTGAGGTTCCAGCCCAAACTGAATGCTTGAGTGAGGTAGTCTAACCCAATCTCTGATCAAGTCTGTGTTGCAAGGGTTATTTGAACACAAGTGCCTAAACTATTGGTATCTGACCTGGACCATTGTATAAACTGAAAAGGATTTTCAAGAGATTCTGTTTCTTTGGTCATGCCAAAAGACTTTAGTGTATTTAAAAATGTTTCCTTTATTCAAAAGATAAAATGCAGTTTTAAGATTCAAACAGAAATATAAGCAAATATTTCTAACCCTTGAGATCTATTTCTTTTTGAAAAAATACTTTTATAAAATCACTCCATTGAAGTTAAGTTATGGAGCATAGTGCAGAAGCTGTGAGTTAAAGGATTTTAATGTGTTTCTAAAAAGAAAAAAGGGATGTATTAAGCATGGTATATTTGTTTGATATTGTGTGGTTAAATAAGTTTTTGCACTTGTTTTTGATGACTGTATGCTTATTCATGTATTCCTATACAGAAATATTAATGTATTCCTATACAGAAAATGCCCTCAACAGTGCTGGATAGATAATGATTTCTTGGACAGAGTTGAGATTGATATTGTAAGAAGTCAACTGGGAAGTCTGTTAATATTTGCAGAAGAATTTTTCCTTGGCTGCTGAATTCCTGTTTCATGGTTCAGTAGGTCACAGCAACTGTGTCTGCACACATGCACTTAGGAATGGAAGAGGACCCTAAAATGTTTGGGGCTTTTGTTTTTTTGTTTTGGTTTTGTTTGTTTGTTTTAAATTCATCGCTTGTTTTTGGTCAGCTTTTTTGAGGAACCTGACTTCTGCAGGTCAGGGCTTGATTATGTATATAATTTGAATTAAGGCAAATTACATGTTTAATTGAAGAAGTGCTGTAACTGATAATAGCACTTTGTGATATTTTGCATAGTTTTGTGACAGAATAAAAATACTTTGTGTTAACTTCATTCAAAATACTCTATTCCTGAAGAAGAGTATCCAGAGTATTTGAGAGAGCAATTTTACCAAAAATACGCAAAGGTCAAAAAAAGTTGGCTTAAAAAAAAATAATTAAAAAAAAGAACAGGCACTCCCCTATCCAATAAAATATTTCATTTTCATTTCCAGTTGAATTTCATGATCATGTAATTTCACATTAGGCAAAGGTAGGTATATCATTTAGGCAAAGCTTTCACAGATAATTCCAAGCAGTTGACTTTATAGAACTGCAAGAACCCTTTCTGAATCCAGGCCAGCAAAAACAGGCATTGGAAATTGTTTTTATGAACATGAATGTTAGGTAGTTAAACAGAGTCAGGGCAGTGTCTTATTACTTCAGAGCTTCTGTTAAAAATGACTGCTTTATTGTGGCTTACTATTGTACTTGTTTGCAATACCAGTTGCCTGCTTTTTTATTTCCTTAAAGAAATTGTATTTGTCAGCTCTCCTCTGCTCACTGTAATCGCTTTCCTCAGTATGCATACTATAGCTTCTTGGTGTTAATACCATGCATTCAATCATGTTGTCTTAGAATCATAGAATCATAGAATCATTAAGGTTGGAAAAGACCTCTAAGATCATCAAGTCCAACCGTTAACCCAACACCACCATGCCCACTAAACCATGTCCCTAAGCGCCTCATCTACACGTCTTTTAAATACTTCCAGGGATGGTGACTCTACCACTTCCCTGGGCAGCCTGTTCCAAGGCCTGACCACTCTTTCAGTAAAGAAATTTTTCCTAATGTCCAATCTAAACCTCCCTTGGCGCAACTTGAGGCCATTTCCTCTCGTCCTATCGCTTGTTACTTGGGAGAAGAGACCAACCCCCACCTCGCTACAACCTCCTTTCAGGTAGTTGTTTTCCCTTGTTTTCCAGGGTTTTTTTTTTAAGTGCATATCACTCCGGCCACACTACATTATATTTAGCAACATAATGGCTATGTGTTCTCTACAAGATGTGGGGACTCCCAAAACAGTTCATTGTCATCTTGGTGTCATGTGATATCATTATGTCTTTAAGTGGGGTTTTCAGTTGTCATGGGGGGACCTCTATTACATCGATGTTGTTTAATTTATGTTTTTACAGGATTCTAAGGGGGCTGCTTTTCCTTTGAGTTTTAGGGAAACTAAAGAAAGCATGGGAGACTGAGTCTGCAAGATCCTTATTTTTTAATTTTTTAAGTTTGTTCTAGAATGAATCATTATTCTTATAATAAGAATAAAAATGACTTTTCTTTAAGCAATCTTGTAATGACAACTTTAGAAAAGGCTGTGTTCTTTAAGGATGCAAGTGAAATAG